TTTAAGCCATTGAGCATCCTCACATAAATTCCCCCTTGCATTGCTGATGTGTAAAACTACATTGTGCTTGCCTGGTGAACAAATCCCTTTCTACCACTTCTCAAGTTTCTCAGAAAACACACACACAATTCCTTTAGGTTCAATATAACTGATGTTGTAGAAGATCAAATGTTGTGAAGGGGTGAACTTAACATTTGGCAAATCTCAGAGAGGCAAAAATATAAGTTCTTAACCAACAGTGTTCTCTCTTAATGGCCAACCATATTTTACTAAGCCTGTGATTTAAAAAACTTCATACATTGGGCACGTTAAAATTATGCAATTTAATTAATGGCAATCATAACAATTCCTTCTTTAAAAAGAGCAATAGAGCCATCCATTTAGATCAATCATAAATCTTGGCAGACTTTATTTTAATCCACAATTAATAAGAAGATTTTTACCAAGCACTTCCTGTATACAAACTTCTAAATGCCTAGAGCTGGTATTTAGAATATAAAAGATGGTCCTTGCCCTCCAGGTATAAATATATAAAAAAGATAGTATAATAGTTGGAAGCACATTATGAATGCGAATTGATGTTGAGAGGACAAAGACTTCTTAGGGGCTAGGATGATTTATTTATTCATTCAACCACAGGTATAGAGCATCTCCTATATTCCAGACACTATTCTAAGTGCTGGGGGAACATGCTGAATAGAAATAGAAGGTCTTTGCTGTCATAGTTTACATCCTAGTAGGGGAAGATACACAACAAACAAGCAAATATATACTGTAATGTCAATAGTGATTAGTGTTATGAAGAATAATAAAGTGGGGTGATGGGATTGAGAGAGACCAGGATGGGGAAGGGGCACTATTTCAGATCAGATCTGAAAAGAACTTGCTGGGAAGAGAATATTTTAATGGAGAACTGAATTGCATGAAGCAGTGAGCCATGTAGAAAGGTGACAAGTTCCAGGTAAAGGAAATGACATGTATGAAGGTACAGATAGGAATTGAATGGGCAGGTTCCAAGAACAGCAGAGGTCTGGTGGTGACTGGAGAGTAGTGAGCCCAGGGAGAATGGTCGGAGAGGAATCCAGTGAGGAAGAGGGACAGTGCTGTGTAGGGCCATGCAGCCCACTGTGTGTGTGACAGAGGCCACGAAGGTTCTAGCTAGTGCTGCAGTGTGATCAGATTCAGGCTTTAAGAACATCACTGGCTTTTTTTTTTGAGACTGAGTCTCGCTCTGTTGCCCAGGCTAGAGTGAGTGCCATGGCGTCAGCCTAGCTCACAGCAACCTCAAACTCCTGGGCTCAAGTGATCCTTCTGCCTCAGCCTCCCAAGTAGCTGGGACTACAGGCATGTGCCACCATGCCTGGCTAATTTTTTCTATATATGTTTAGTTGACCAATTAATTTCTTTCTATTTTTTTTAGTAGAGACAGGGTCTTGCTCTTGCTCAGGCTGGTTTCAAACTCCTGACCTTGAGTGATCTTCCCACCTCGGCCTACCAGAACATCACTGGCTTTGAGAGGAATGTCTTACAGCGATAGAGAACCAAAGCCAATTTGGGGGTGTATTAATTAGGGTAGGCTAAACTGTAGTAGCAACCAAAAGTGCAGTAGCTCAAACACAATGTAAATTTATTTCTCACTTGCTTTAACAGCCTAGGAAGGGGGCTTCGAATCAATGGGAACTCTCTTCCATACATTGACTCAGGGCTCTTTCCATTTGTGCGATTTCACCTTCCCCTAGGACCTTGTCATGTGCAAAGAAAGTTGAAACTGAGTTACCAGATTTCAGGCAGAGGAAGGAGAAGGTGCATGGAGGAGAGGCATCCGTTCTCTTAAAGACATTGGCCCAGAAGTGGCACTCACCATTTCTGTTAGTGAGAATTTAGCCACATGGCCACACCCACCTGCAAGAAATCCTGGGAAAGTACCATAGCTGTGGTCTGTACCACAGGAGCCTACTGTAGGAAGTGGATGAAAGATGAAGGTGGCTTAGACAAGGATGAGAGCCAGGGAGTTGGTGAGGGGTGATCATATTCAGGATATATTTTGATGGTAGAATCAACAGGATTACTGATAGGATAGATGCAGGTGTGAGAGAAAGAGAGGAGTCAGGATTCACTTACATGTTTGTGTACATGGTGGTGTCACTCAGATGAAGAAGACTTGGGGGATAGATTTCTGTTTTAATTATGTTAAGTTTGAGGTGCTTCCTAGTCAACTAAAGGGAAATATTGAGAAAACAATGAGATATTCAAAACTTAAGTTCAAGAGAGAGGTCGAGGATGATGTAAGCTTGGAGTTATCAGCATATCAACAGTATGTAAAGCCATGGACTAGATGAGATCTCTTAGGAGTGGGCACATATGCAAAAAAGAAGAATGCTGAGGACCAAATGTTGGGATACTGCAATATTTTCAGGTTGGAAGGAGGAGGTGAGCCAGCAAGAGGAGACCGAGAAGAAGTGGGCAGTGAGATAGGAGAGAAACCAGTAAAGTGAAGCGCTTTAGAGAGGAAAGTATTTCAAGGAGGAAGTGACCGTGTGTGTCAGATGCTGTCTGAAAGGTCAAGTGGGATGAGGACTGGGAGTTGACCATTTAATTTGAAAAGATTCAAAATGACTGTCAACTTTAGTTAGAGTAGTTCTAGTGGAATGGTATCTACAATCTTGAGAGTGGGTTGAGGAAATAACAGGACATAGAGATTGCATAGCAATTCTTTTGAGGAAGTTTACTGTAAGGGAGACAAAGAAATAGGGCAATAACGGGGGGGGGGGGTGACCTAGAGTCATTTAGGTGGAAGAAATTACAGTGTGTGTTTGATGGAAATGATTCAGTAGGGGACAGAAAAATTGATGATGTGAGAGCAGTGTCCTTGAACAGGCCAGAGGGGCTGGGATCCAGGGCACAAGGGCAGGGACAGGCCTTAGGTAGGAGCAGGGCTGCTCACCGGCTGTAAAAGGAGGGAAGGCAGAACAGAGTGTACAGATGCAAGTGAGTCGGCAGATTTGGCCATGAGAGGCTACGAAGTTCTCTTGGAGAGGAGAGCTTGTAGATGCGTTATATCTGACAGTAGGAGAATTAGTTGCCTGGGTATGAGACTGCTGAGGGATCTGAAGTGTGAAAGCAGACGCATATGCAAGGGAATGCTGATAACCATGGGACCTAAGCTTGGTAAGAGAGTAGTGAAAACAGGAGGTAGGTGATGGAAAGCAAGAACACAGTAGGGCAAGTTGTCTGACAGTCCTTCTATAGACCTATGAATAGTTGGAGTGAGGAACAGAAGAGCACAAGAGCTAAAAAATAATTTTTTTAAAGGAGGTTGTGGGATGAGAGTAGATTGCTTAAAATTATGATTTAGGAAGTGTAAGTTTATTGGTAATGACAAACCTCAAGTATGGCTAAGAGAGTTGATGGTTTAAATGAATAAAAGAAAAGATTGTTGGAGTGAGGATTTCAGGGAACTGCAAAAGCAGGGCATTGAATGAGTTGTTTATGTAGAAGTCACTGTGTAGTCACCAGAATGATGATGGGTGGTGATAGAAAGATGGTGAGCCAGGGGCTGAAATCTTTAATGGGGGGGGGAGGGGCTGACCACAAAGCTGGTAAAGGACTTTAATGATAAAGGAGAGGGCGTGAACTACTCTGATGGCCTGCACTTCAGAGGGGCCAGGTCATGAAGCCACAGTGACTAGAGAAGATGGAAGGCTTGGACCAGGAATACTGCCCACTGCATGCCAAGCCCCACACTCAAGATGGGTGTGGACCCTGCCCTCATAAAGCACATTATCCAGTGGGCATAAAGACACATAAATAAATATACACCTACAAATAATGGTAAGTGCTATGAAGGAAAAGAAACAGGTCATGAGAGAATGCATTTAGATTTTGTTGTGGGGCTGATTTCTATGAGGAAGTGCTATCTGAGCGGTGAGTAAGAGCTGGACAAGCAGAGGGCTAGAGGATCCATGAGAAGCAGGACCCAGCTACCTTCTAGGGGCCAAGAAAATCTCAGAAGTGACTAAGAGGGGGGAGGAGACTGGCATATGAGACGAGGTCTGGACACGTAGTGAAGAGGGAGGAGCTGGCGCAGTCAAGGCAGTTTGGCCAAAGCAGCAATTTGGTATTGGAGAACAGAGAAAGCGCCAGTTAGGGAGCTGTCAACCACGTTTCCTGAGCAACAAACGATGAAGGCTGAGGACACCTGAAGGTTTAGTGTTGAAATGAAGCAAAAACATACAGCAAAATTAATCCAACATGCCATTTGTTTGAAATGCTATTGTTGTGTTCATGGTAATTAGACCATATCGTTAAACAATCTAGATGCATTTTCATGGCTAAATTGAGCGTTTCTGGAACCAGCTGTAAACCAGGAAGGCAGAGCTGAGAAGCTTGGATGTGCCTGAAATCCGTGGAGGACAAGGCGGAGCCACACATTTGTTTATTGTCCGAGCCTATTCCCCTCAGCCACCTTAACTGCCAGAGGAAGGAATCGGAGGAGCTATTCTCCCTCCCTCTCTCTCTCTCCTTCATCACTTATGGTTTACACCCGAGACAGGGCTAACCTGAGCAACCTTCATAGCCAGAAGGTAGCAAAGACCATCCCACAGTTAGAAAGAAACCAGTGTGCCCCAACGGTCCGAGTCGTCACACCTGGGAGCCAAGAACACCTGATGCCCAATTTGCCCCTCTACCCACTTACGTCTAAAAAAGACGGGAGAGCTCAAGTTCCCATTCCCCAGGCAACAGACCTGGGCAGACATGCAGTGGGTTTTAGAGGAGCTTTCTTCTCCTCTCTGCTCTTCCCTTGCCTTCTTTCTCAGATCCTTGGCTGGTGGGAGGCCTTAAACACTTTTTTCTTCCTTCTCCAAAGCAAGTACTAGCAGTTGTCCCTTAAGCTAAGCTACAAAATTGGGGAAGAGGAGCTCGTAAATATTTGCTCATAAAAACAGAAGACAGTCTGTTTGGAAATCGATAGCCAAGGATTTGGCTAATTTATTTTTTAGATTTCTTCCTGAAGTCCAGGCTCCAGGAACAAGATATCCAGAGGAGACCAACTTCTTTCTACAGCCACATGTGTAACCCCTGGGTCTCCCTGTTGGGGGTGAGTAACTTCATCTTGATTTTGATTGTCCTTGGGACATAATTCAGGTGGAGATTTGTCAGGTTGGTGGGGGAAGGAAAGAGGAGAGCTTAATTAGAAGCAATATAATTTAATTACTTGTTGCATTAGAATTTAGATGAGACATATTAATGACAAGATTACATTTATTTAATGAACCACTTATTTTAACCAGTGATTTACTTTTTAAATAATTAATAGCCTCTGATAACCTCTGTGTTACTAAATTTCTAGGCCCACCAAATTAGCATAATTTCATCCTATTTATTTCTTGTAGAGAGCAATGGGACAAGGAGTTAGGATAGAATATCTATTTGTTGATAGCTTTGGTTAAAGGGTAACTTTTGGAGGGTATCTTCCCAAATATCTGCTTAAGTGAGGTTCTTTAAATTATGAGTGCATGTCAATTATTAAGACTTTTACACTCATTAGAAATTTATGAGAGGGACTACTGTTTCATAAGGCCCTAGCCTATGGCTTGCCTACCATGCGGAAAGCCATTAGGTGACTTGCCTTTCCTACTCTGTTTCTACAGGCTGTTGGGTCCCTTCTCATCATGTTTGTGATCCAGTGGGTCTATACCCTGGTTAGCATGGGTGTTGCTGCCATTGTGTATTTCTACATTGGCCGGGCCAGTCCAGGGCTTCCCCTTGGTAAGCAGCAGAGCCATTTTGCCACCACTTCCCTCCTTCTCTTTAGCATTCATTGAAAAAAAAAGTTTTGAACACCTATTACATGCCAACACAGACTCAGATATGAATCCCATTTTCAAATAGTTTATAGTCTGGAAAGAGAACTGTGACATACACATAAATGATTACAATGAAAAATAATAACTTATTGTAAGGTTTATAAGACATGTAGAAATAAAATGGACAATAGAACAAGAGCTAGCTTTAAGGAATGAAATGGAAGTATACTGTTATAAGTTTCTTGTAATATATATTAAGTACTATAACATCACCCAAACATAGATTGTGGTAAGTTTAGGGTGTATACTATAAACCCTAAATCAACCACTGAAATAACACAACAAAGAATTATAGCTAAGCCAATAAAGGAGGTGAAATTGAATGAGAAAGTACTCAAATCACAATAAAGCAGAAAAAGATATTAAAGGACATATGAGATAAACAAAAAAAATAGCAAGATGGTTTAATACATATGGCATATATAGGGTTTATATATATAAACCTAATCATATTAATAATCATACTAAATATAGATGGTCTAAAGAAGCAAATGTCAAAGATTGTCAGATTGAATAAAAAAAGCATGATCCAATTATATGCTGCCTCTTTTAACTATAAAGACACAAACAGGTTAAAAGTAAAAGGATGGAAAAAGATATACCAGGCTAATACTAATCAAAAGAAAGCTAGAGTGGCTATGTTAACATCAGACAAAGTGATTTTAGAGAAAATGTTACAAGGATAATGATGGTCATTTTATAAAGATAAAGGGAAAATTCATCAGGAGGACACAATGAAGCTTAACAGACACTTTAAAACAGAACATTGAACTACATAAAGCAAAACCTGATAGACTACAAGAAGAAATAGAAAAGTTCACAATTATAGTCAGAAATTTCAAAATCTTTCTCCCAATAATTGATAAAACAAGTAGGCATAAAATCAGTAAGGCTACAGAAGACTTGAATAATGCTAGCAACAAACCTGACCTGACATTTATAGAACACTGCACCCAACAAGAGCAGAATATATGTTCTTTTTAGGCATACATGAAACATTTACCAGGATAGATCATATTCTAGGACATAAAAAATGTTTCAATAAGTTAAAAGATATTCAAGTCAATTTAAGAACAAACTATGTTTTCTGACCAAAAGGAGTAGTTAAAAATAAATAACAGAAAAATATCAGAAAATACCGAACTTTTTAGAAACTAAAGAACACAAAATAACATTTAAAAAACCTACAGAAACCAAATAACCTATGGTTCAAAAAAGAAAGCAGAAATGAAATTATAAATCATTTTGAATTGAATAAAAATGAAAATACAACATCAAAATTATAGGATATAGCTAACTTAGTATATAAAGGAAATCTACAGTATCAAATGCTTATATTGGAAAAGAAGAAGCCAGGCATAGTTTACTCACTCCTACAGTCCCAGCTACTGGGGAGACTGAGGCAGAAGGACAGTTTGAGCTCAAGAGTTTGAGGTTACAGTGAGCTATGATAGTGCCACTGCATGCCAGTCTGAGCAGCAAAGCAAGAGCAAGACTCTGTCTCAAAAAAAAAAGAAAGAAAGAAGAGAGTTCTCAAATCAGTGACCCCAGCTTCCAACTTAAGAAACTAGAAAAAGAAGTACAAATTAAATCTAAAATAAGAAGAAAAAAGAAACCATAAAGATCAGCATAGAAATCATAAAAACATAGAATGAAAAAAAAATAGAGAATGCCAATACAACAATAAACTGGTTACATGAGAAGATCAATAAAATTGATAACCCTCTAGCCAAACTGATCAGAATAAAAGGAGGCACAAATTACGAATACTAAGAATGAATGAGATGACATCACTAGAGATTCTACAGATATTAAAAATGAAATAAAGGAATATTATAAATAGCTTTATGTCAATAAATTTGACAACTTAGATTAATTGGACAAATTGCATGAAATGTACAGACTACCAAAGCTCACTCAAGAAGAAATAGATATAGGGCTATTCAGGTAATCTATTAACAAATTAAATTGGTCATTAGAAACCTTCTCACAAAGAAAACTTTAGGCCTAAACCCTTTGAAAAACTACATACTGACATATCTTATAAATATAGATGCACAAAGTCTTAAAAGAATTTTAACAAATTGAATTTAATAATATATAAAAAGAATAATACATCATGATCAAGTGGGTTTGTCTCAGCAATGCAAAGTTGTTTTAACATCTGAGATTAATCAGTGTAATTTACCATGTTTACAGATGAGAAAAGGAAAACTACAAAACATTTTGAACAAGAAAATAAAGACTAAATTAAAGAAATAAATGAAGAGATATTCATGAATTGGAAGACTCAATATTCTTAAAATGCCAATTGTTTCCAAATTGTCATATAAATTCAACTCAATCCCAGTCAAAATCTCAATTTCCCTTTTTGTAGAAATTGTCAAGCAGATTCTAAAATAGTTATATGGAAATGCAAAGGACCTAGAATAGTTCAACTAACTTTGTAAAAGAAGAACAAAGTTGTAAGACTTGCACTTTCTGATTTTAAAATTGATTATAAAGCTCAAGGCACCAAGACAGTGTGATGTCTTGTCTAACAAGCTAGACAAGTAAGTCAATGGACAGTAGACAGTTCAGAATTTGACCCATACATAAATGGTTAATTGCTTTTCAAAAAAGATGCAAAGGCAATTCAGTGGAGGAAAGAATAGTGTTTACTACGAATGACAGTGGAACAATTGAACATCCATAGTCAAAAGGTAAACTTCAATTAATATATCATACCATGAAAAAACTTAAAATGGATATTAGAACTAAATGTAAAATCTAAAACTATAAAATATCTAAAAGAAAATATAAGAGAAAACTTTAGTGACTGTGAGTTAGGCAAAGATTTCTTAGATACAACACCAGAAGCAGGAAAAAAAATTGATAAATTGGACTTCATCAAAATTAAGGACTTCTGATCTTCAAAAAACACTGATAATATAAAAGACAAGCAAAAAACAAAAACAAAAACACTGTAATGCAAAGACAAGCCAGAGACCATGAGAAAAATATTAGCAGATCATACATCTGATAAAGGACTTGCATTCAGAATACATAAAAACTCTCAAAACCCAATAAGAAAAGAAAAACCAAACAAAACAAGTAAAAGTTTTAAATAAACTTCACTAAAGAAGACACATGAAAGACAAATATGCACATGAAAAGATGCTCAATAGCATTAGTCATTAGGGAAATTAAAGCCACAGTAGGGTACTACTAAACACCTATTAGAATGACTAAAATTAAACATACTAACCATACTATGTATTGGCAAGGACGTAGAGCAACTAGAACTATATATACTGCTGGTGGGAATGTAAAATGATACAGCCACTTTGTAAAATGGTTGGGCAGTTTGTTAAAAAGTTAAATGTATACCTGCTATATGACCCAGCCATTGCACTCCTGGGTATTTGCCCAAGAGAACTGAAAGCATATTGCCATACAAAAACATGTACATGAATAATCATAGCATAATAATTTGTAATAGCCCCAAACTGGGCACAACCCAAATGTCCATGCACAGGTGACTCTATAAATAAATTGTGGTATATCCATACAATACACGTAATAGTAAAAGAGAATGAGCTATTGATACATGGGTGAATCTTAAAATAATTATACCGAGTGAAAAAAACCACACAAAAAGGGTGCATAGTATATTATTTTGTAAAATATATGCATAGTTATTGAAAATGTAAATTAACCTACAGTGACAGTAGATCAGTGGATGCTTTTGGATGGGGTGGGGTGGGGATACATGGGAGGCTGATCTTATGAAGTGGCTTGGGGAAACTTTTGGAGGTGATAGATATGTTCATTATCTTGCTTGTATGATGGTTTCACAGTGAATATGTATATAGGTCAACACAGACCAAACTGTACACTTTAAATACAGATGCTCCTCAACTTACAATGGTGCTATCTACCAATAAACCTATATTAAGTAAAAAACATCCCAAGTTGAAAATGTATGTAGGCCAGACACAGTGGCTCATGCTTGTAGTCTTAGCACTTTGGGAGGATGAGGTGAGAGGATTGCTTGAGGCTAGAAGTTCATGACCAGCCTAGACAAGACCCTGTCTTTACAGAAGATTTAAAAATTAGCTGGGTATGGTGGTCCACATCTGTAGTCCCAGCTACTCAGAAGGCTGAAGAGGATCATTTGAGTCCAGGAGTTGGAGGCTGCAGCGAGCAATGATGACACCACTGCACTACAGCCTGGGTGACAGAGCAAGAAAAGGCCTGAAATGCCAGAGCATCAAGATTACAGAAAATAAGAAAATGTAGTCAATACACAGTTTTTTGTACATCAGTTGTTCCTCAAGCTGTTTAAAAAATATATTACAAAGCCCTTTTCAGCAAATTTTTCTGATGCCCCAATTTAAAATAAATCAATTAGTTTCAAGTTCTAACTAAATCAGATGGACCGTAATAATTTAGGCAAACTAAAAAAGTTCTTCAGAATTAGAACAGTCTGATGTATATTTTTGAAATGTACTTGAAACATTTCAAGCCATGCACATTAAAAATAATGATTTAGAGATACAGTAATGCTTAGAAGAGATCTTTATATCAGCTAATTTCATGGATAGAATATATTTTCATTAATGTAGTAATTATTTCAGTGATGACTTCTGAATTTCTCTTGAAAAATTTGATCTTAAAAAATTTAAATACCAGAAATCTATTCACAGGAAAGTATGAAATCAAATTTCATACTAATGTCTATCTAAAATTTAGGTGATTAGAATCTAAATGATCAAACTTAAGTAGGGTCAGTTAATAAAGTGCTTATGCTTATTTTCTTCCTTCTGACAATCTCAAAATATATTAGGAATCTTTTCTTGGCAATTGCAGGTATTAAAGCAGATCTAAAATTTATCCTCCCTTCAACCATAAGAACCCTAAAAGATACTGAGTAAACCCACATTATCAGCTGCATGTTGTTGACCTTAGGGAGGGGTTTCTAAAAAAGATTGATAAACCCTATTCAAGTTGGTATCAAGATTATTTGGCTAGTATCAACAACGGTCTCACTTCAAAATTCAGCTCTAACATTTCTGCATGTTGATCTATTTGATTCATTTCACACCTATTGGAAACTTCCTAAGTACCAGATCCTGTGAAGTACTTGAGGATTACAAAGATGAAAAAAAATGTTCCTTATTCTCAAGGAGTGTATGGTCTAGTAGGGGATTTTATAGCATGTGTCCAATACATATCAGTGTGAATCTAAGAGAAAACATCATCAAACATTTTTTTTTTCCTAAGACTGAAGTGAGCAAGTTCTCTGCATTTTTCTTCATAGCACTTTATCTAGTTTCTTTTGAGGGAGTTTGGAGTTTAGAAATAAATTTTTGAAAAGTACACTTGGGTGCAAAGTCCATTGTAGGCTGCTGTTACGGAGTATCACAAGGAACGTTGTTTGGTTAGACTGAAAAAGGAAAAAAAAATTGTGCTAATTCTGTGGGGGGTGGTACACAGGGTAGGAGTTCACTGTATTAAATCTGAAATTATAGATGCATGTGTAGAGCCTTCATGAATATGTATGTGTATGTCTTCTCTGCAGGATCAGCTTCCAACTTCAGCTTTTTCCGGTGGATGAGGTCTCTTCTGATCCCCTCCTGCAGGTCTGTCCCAATCTGGGGCCAGTAGCAGGACGGATGAGCGTCCAGGGAGGTGCTAGGAGTGCCCCATTCCTGACCAGGCTTGGGCCTGGCTTGTGGTGTGGGCGCCTGACAACTGGGACCCGCCAGGAGACTCAGATGTTGCCCCTCTCTGCCCCCCACCCCACCCAGCCCCCAGCTTCAGCTCAGCAGACGCTCCCTCTGGCTCATGTCCTCATTCCTTCTTATCCTCAGTCATCGTGAGCTTTATTTAAGATCTGATTGCCGGGGCGATAGGTCAAGAGAGCCACTCTCAGTGAGTTTACAATCTAAGCCACATTGGCATCACTACACAATCACGCACAAGATTAAAGCCCAAAGGAAATGTAAAGCCAGGACACACATTCTTCCATCTCGAGTCAGAGGTATTTAATAGTTGATGTGACTGTGCGAAGGCCAAGCACAGAGATAAAGTAGAGATCTCTGTGGGATCCGTGTCCAGACACCCAGGGCGAGGGAGCAAACCTTCCTGCGGGGCAGGAGGAGGTCTCATGGCCGACATCTCCGAGGGCGACATCTCCCGGTGCCACAGTCCCTGTCCTTCTCCCTGAGTCCTGCAGTGCTGATGCTTCCTCGCCTTGTAAGGCCTCCGGATGTGGGGGAATGGCTCCCACCCCTCTGTCCATTTGAAAATCAGCACGGAGCCAACTCTGCAGGACAGGGAAAATCCAGGCAGAACCCAACCCAGTGTTTATTTGGTTTTATTTTTTTGGTTTGTTTTTGAAACTACATGTCAGCTTTGCACTTGCCAGTATTTCCACCTCCCGAGCCCAGACACTGCTATGGATCGGGGGACCCTTTCCCATTGATCCCAGATACCAGTTCAGAATCCTTTCTTTTCCCTTCATTTTTTTTTATTGTGGTAAAATACACAGAATGTAAGATTTACCATCTTAACCATTTCTGACTATAGAGTTCAGTGACATTAAGTACGTTCATGTTATTGTGCAACCATCACCACCACCCATCTCCAGAAGCCTTTCATTTCCCCAAACTGAAGCTCTATCCCCATTAAACAATAATTCCCGTTCCCCAGAATCCTTTTTAAGACAGCTCTTCACAAGCACTGCCGGCACTACAGGAAATAGGACTGTGGGGCTAGAGCTTGGGGTGAAGAGAAGAAGGAGCAAGAACTATAGAAGCCAACGGGGGAGAGGCCCGGCAGGGCGTGCGGAGAGAACTCCGTCAGCTGCCTGGGCTGGCTGCGCCCCGTGTCCTGTGTGGAGCTGTAGCAGGGTGGGTGACCGCTCTGCCTCTCATCAGTCTGAGGCACAAGGTTGGGCGACCCTGGTCACGACACACCTACACTGACCTCCTTTCCCCTGCAACCTAGTCCTGAGGGCAAGTAGAGTTTAAGTGGAAACAGATTCTGTGTAGAAGCTGCCCACAGATTCTGCAGCTGCGAGTGGTGTGTGGGAGATAATATTTGGCCTTGCCTGGTTTACAGGGATATTTTTAGTCATTTCTGGTTTTAAAGCCTAAAAATGGCCATAGAGGGTCACCACTCCTTATGCTGTACTCTGAATCCCTGGGATTTCACCTCGAAGGTCACTGCAATGCTCTGCAGGAAGAAGAATGTATTAGGAGGAGATTATTCTTAGAAAAGGACAGTACTTTGGCTGGAATGGAACGTAGTCCACACCATTCATGACATAAGTCCCAGGTTCTGTGGGCTATGAAATGGGGGACAGAGTTCTCAGCTACATCAGCATCAAACTTGCTGGCCTCGCTGTGGCTGCTGGGAGGTATTTTGGGATGGTTACTCAGGAGAGTGAAAGGACTAAGAAATGGTGATTTATTTAAAAATAGAGAATTTTAAAATAAGTCACTATTGTGATTAATAATCACAGTAAGTATTATTATTCATCACATTTATTGATTAATAATCATTATTAACCAATGTGCATTTTCTACTTTGTCGTTTTGAGCCCCCTTACCCCTACCAACTATAGCCCCAAAAACCCTTCAAAACCAAAGATGACAACAAATGTAGAGTGTGTTTGGGTAGAAGAATCTGGCTGGGTTACTTTCTCTGATATACCTACCGTCCCCAGTAACTGTGTGAAGTTAAACCTGACGTTGAGAAGGCTTTCTCTCCTGAAGCCCTAGCAACTGTTCAGATGAGTATTTTTAAGCCGTTCTAGACTAGACAGTGAAGTATATGATGTCCCCAAACTCAGAAGCATGTCATGGTTTCACCTAAAAAAAAAAAAAAAGAATTAGCAAAAACAAAATAAAAAGATATGATACATTGGCAAAAACATTTACACATTGACTGGTATGGTATTTTTGTCACTTTCTAACCTTTCTTTTTGGAGACACAACCTTTATAGAAGTTAATTGAGTTCTCAGAAACCCTCAAGCTATATGATTTATTAATAGATGTGTTCTCAACAAATGGCTATAAAGCCTTGGTCATGTGATCCAAACTCAAAGAGCAAGAAAGACGTTTTGCCAGAGTCAGTGGAAGCTTTCTGCTAACTTCCACAGATTTAGAACATTAGATTTCCACCTTTTAAAAATTCTCAAATATATTCCTTATTTAAACAATTGAACCTTAACTACTAGTAAAGTAGATGATTCTTTCAGAGTAAAATTGTTAAGAGGAATCCATGCCTAAGTTGTGACTCAGGACCTAACACAGACTGCTGGGGCGGGAAGAAGTGTGGAGCGATAAGAACATGGAGGCAAAAGGAGGCAGAGAGGCTTCCAGAGGCCACTAAGCTTATTATGGTCAGAGCAGTGCCTGGGGCTGTCTTCTGTGGCTGCCCTGACTGCCACTCTGAGCTCTCCTCGCTCCATTCTGCCTCCAGCACGTTCCCTGTATCCTAGCATTTCCTCACCACTTTATTCCAACTCCAGCTGTATGCAGAGACTGCAGTGACAATGGGATCTAGATGGACTTGCTCTTTGTCTTGAGGCCACCTTTGTGGGAAAAGCCTCTGCAGTTTCCCTCTTAGTGGCTTGCCACGTACACCTTAGCTCTGGAAGTTATTCCCCATTCAACTGTCTTTCCAATGAATCAAAAAGAAGGTTTCTCTTTTCACTCTTCTCAGTTTTGCAGTCTTTCCATTCTGTTATTTCATTTGACAAAAAAGCAAGAAAGGCCTAGCATGGTGGCTCACACCTATAATCCTAGCACTTTGGGAGGCCAAGGCGGGAGGATCGCTCGAGCTCAGGGATTCAAGACCAGCCTGAGCAAGAGTGAGACCCTGTCTCTACTAAAAACAAAAAAAGAAAAAAAGAAAAGAAAAATTAGCCAGGTGTCATGGCACACACTTATTGTCCCAGCTCTACTTAGGAGGCTGAGGTAGGAGGATCACTTGAGCCCAGGAATTTGAGGTTATAGTGAGCTACGATGTGCCACTGCACTCTACCTGGGGTGACAGAGCCAGATTCTGTCTCAAAAAAAAGAAAGAAAAGGAGAAGCTACAGAGACAGAGCCCTAACATGACATCACTTGGAAGGCAAAATCCCTCTTTGTGGGTTACCTCCTATCAGGTAGGTAGTTTTATACTTTTCTACTTAAGAAGAGTAGATAGCACTCTCCTCATTTTATTTGATACTTAGTATTTCTCACACTTTTTAGCTCATAAACTTGTAAATATAGCTTTCAATGATTATGTTTTAAACATCTAAATACATGTTGAATAATTAAGACAACTGACATTTTTGCAAATAATTTTTCTATTCTGAGTAGACTCGTCTCCCCTCTCCAGCCTCCACTTGTTCTTCTCCTCTCACCGTCCTCTGTGTGTCTGTTGCTGTAGGAGCTTGCGGTCCCCCCAGGAGCAGATAATTTTGGCACCGTCCCTGGCCAAGGTTGACATGGCGATGACGCAGCTCACCCAGGAGAACGCGGACTTCGCCACCCGGGACCGCTACCACCACTCCTCCCTCGTGAGTCCGGAACAGCTGATGCCTCAGTACTAGCCGCAGCGCTGGGACCTGCCTCTTTGGGCGCTGTCCTGTGCACAGTGGAGCCAAGTCCCGCAACCGTCGGGGAGCTGCTTCTCCTCGGCAGGAACCTCAGGGCCCGCCTTCCCACTGCTGCTCTGGACAGCGCAGACCAACCTGCGCTGTGGTCTGGAGCACCATGGCCCACCCATGGTGACATTGGAGTGGCGGTGGCTCTGCAACACCACACCCAGTCTGAAGAGCTCCACGTGGGCCACCAGGACCACCTATCAGGTGTGGAGAGCCAGAACCGGATTGCTTGTTCTGAGGGCCACAATAAATGCTTATTTTATATTGTATCATTTTATTTATTTTTTAATAAATAATACACTCACGTGCTTCAAAAGCCCAACATATAATCACATAGAGAGTGAAAAGTCTCCTCCCATCCTTGTTCCCCATCTGCTCAGTTCCTGTCCCCTGGCCCAGAGATGACCACTGTTCTCACGCAGACTTCCTGCATTTCTTTATGAATATACAAGCAAATAGGAATGTGGATTCTTATCTGCCTCTTTTTATACACAAAAGGTAGCATGTTTTACACGTGTTCTGCACCTTGCTTTTTCCCCTTAACAATCTGTCTTGGAGACATTTCCATATCCATACATATGCAGTTTCCTTGTTATTTTTCATTGTGTATATGTGCTATAGCTTATTTCACCAGTTCCACAATGATGAGCATTTGGATTCTTTCCAATCTTTTGCTATTACTATCAGTTCTGCAGTGAATACTCTTGTACATATGTACAAGCGTAAAGTATATCCACAGGAGAAATTCCCAAAATTTTGTATTTAACTGCAGCTAGAGTGTGTAAATAGTAGTATTAATCAGGTCTTGGCCGGGGTTCCCTGGGCAGCAGAAGTTTCTGAGCTACCGCTGTGTTGGAGAGTGCATCAGGGAGGAAGGAGGGGGAGAGGAGGAGTGAAGCAGGAGGGAGGGTTAGCAACCACTGAATGTCACATGCAACTAGATGCTTGCTCTCCAGGGAAAGGATCTTCTGAGAGCCTACAGGAACATCAGATGTAGGAAAGGATCAGAGCTCATCTACTGGTTTCTGTTTCTCATAATCAAAGGTTAGCTTCCAGTGGGCATTAACCACCCCTACAACTGTGATTCGCACATGCACGAATGCCTAGTGATTCTGCAGCACACAGACACTGGCTGGAGCCCACCCAGACCTGGTTGTTGCAGTGGCAGTTGAGGTGGAACAAGTGGCCTCAGCCCCAGAGACAGGTGAGGCAGAGAAGATCTGAGGTTGCACATTAAGAGGTGTTATATGTAGCCTGTATATTGACAAAGGTCAGTAGCATATATAGGTTGTCAGAAAAACAAAACATGCATGTCACTGGATCATTCAGACACTGGATCATTCTTAATTATCTAAAGGATGCTCCAAAATGTCAGCACAGTTGGTATATATGACACTGAGACTAGCAACATTTTCTGAGAGGCATATTCCTGGCCTAAAAGTTTTACCAAGGAGTCCACAGTTGTAGGTGATAATATCTGAATGAGTCAGGATTGTATCAGACCACCTGGGACCATGAATGTCTCCCCTGAGGCCAAGCTGTCTAAAGATTGATCCATCCGATGATCCATCCCCCATCTACACACTCACCCATCATTGATCCATCCACCCATCCATTGATCTACCTATCTATCCATCCATCCATCCATCATGCATCCATCCATGGCTGGAGACACTATACTCATAACTTTGTAGATAGGTACCTGGAACCACCTCATCTGAGTCTGTACACCTCACCAATCTCAGAGCTTTATAATATAAAAACATTATCACAGACCATTCAGGTATACACAGACTTATAAGGTATCTCCCTCAAAGTTTCAGGATGAGTACAGCCCAGTCCCAGAGCATTCTTAAACTCAGGGCTAGGAACCATCACCCTGTGTACCTAGAGTATGAGGAGGGAAGTCTGAAGAATGATAAAAATCCATCCTCAAAATTTCATAGGGCTTTATTAAAAAAAAAAAAAATAAGGTTGCATGATCTAGGCCCAGGGAAAATCCAGCTTCAGATCTGCTCCTTCCCTGGTAAGTGCGTTATTGTTTCTGCTCTCCCTGCTCTGCGGGAGCTGAGGTCCCCCGCTGAGACTAGGCCAGCAGGGGCAGAGGCTGAGGAACCCATGGAGTAAGCAGAGCTCCAGTTGTGCCCGGAGCTGCTGGAGCGGGTTGTGGGGGCGGCGTGGAGGCAGGAACAAAATGAATGGCACACACGGTCCTGATGTATCACTTTCCTATTGCTGCTGTAACAAACTACCACACATTTAGTGGCTTCAAACAACACGCACTATTTTTTTGTACTTCTAGAGGTCAGAAATCTAAAATGGGTCTCACTGGGCTAAAGTCAAGGCATGGACAGGGCTGCAGTCTTCTGAAAGGTCTAGTGGGCATCTGTTTCTCACTTGTTCCTGCTTCTGGAAGTGCTCGCATTCCTTGCTCAGGCTCTTTTTGTCTCCAAAGCCAGCAGTCAGCAGCCACACCTCCTCCCCCCCTGCTCCTGCATCACATGTCCCTCTCCCGCCCTCCTGCCTCCCTCTTCTGCTTTGGTGGCTCCTCCAGCATGACCTCCCCGTCTCAAAATCCTTCACCCGATCACATCCGCACAGCCCCTTTGCCCCGTAAGTGACATCTTCACAGGTTCTGGGGATGAGGACCCAGCTGTCTTTGCAGGGGCATCCTTCTGCCAGCCACACCTGACTCGGGCTGGGGAGCAGCACACACGAGAGGGCTGGAGTGCAGTAAATGCAAGTGTACGGTGGCGCTGCTGGATGGATCCACGAGTGCTGGGAAGACGAGTGGGGAAGAAATCCAGGAATCTTCTTGGAGGAAGCAGGTTGTGGACCATTGGTGAGAGCGTATAGGAAGGCTCTGAACCGAGGGAATGAGATAGACAAAGACACAGGAGGCAGAAGGACCCAAGCCGGAGAGAGCAGGCTCACCTTCAGCCGGACAATTCTTCCTACCTTTACTTTTAAGTGGGTTCACATTAGAGGGAGTAGGTGGGTGTAGTCTCACATTCATGGGATTGGAGGAAGGAAAGAAATCTCTGTTGGAACCCTGGCTCTACCACTTACTAGCTCTGTGATCTTGGGCAGGCGTCTTCATCTCCTTGAGCTTTGGTTTCCTTCTCTGTAAAATGGGAATTATAATTCCTACCTGCCTCCACGTGGAGTGTGAGTACTAAATAAAATGAAACTCACATTTTTTTGGAGGCGATAAAGAGGGGGTGTGCGCTAGGGGTGCAGGGGAGTGTCTTAAACATGTTCTCCTACCACCCCTGCTGGTTCCATGTCGCTTACTGCAAGCAACACAGTAAGAATAAAAAACCCCAAACCACGAGAACTGCAGCGCTTCTTGGCACCTGCCAACCTGCAATTTCAGTAGGGCATGGTGGAGCCCTACTCCCTGAGGGCAGGAAACCTTCATGCCCGCATCAGAGTGAGAGTTCCCCCTGCCTGCCCCTGTCCCACCCCCTCAGCCTATCAGGTTCATTTGGCCACCTCCCTATATCTCTGCTCCAGTCAGCCCTCTCCCTCCCTTCCTGGAGGCTTAGAAATCTTTCTTAAACACCAGAAAAACCTACCTCATTCTCCAGGTCTCTTGAACTAAGGTGTACTCCAGAACAAATAATGCACTCTTTTTTGTGCCTGGTCCCCTCCAGGTCCACAAAGACACTTGAGAGGTGGGGATCAGCGGTGTTGGTGCAGGGGCTTGGGGTTATTCCACACGGTTTGCACTACTCAGCACTGCTCAGCGTCCATGCACCTTGGTGGTGCACCTGGGCTCCTTTGAGAGGCTCGCAAGCAGAAACAGATGCCAGTTTGTCTGTCTGAGGCAGGAAGGAGAGGCTTAGGCCCCTGACCCTTGACGAGGTATCTTCTTGGGAGAAGGTCACATTCAAGCAAAAGGCAAAGCAGATGGCGAGAAAGACCTACCAGCATCAGGGGTCCCTCCCTGGCTGTGCTCCCGGGAATGCAGCCCGCCCCGCAGCAGCAAGGCTGGCCCCCGCCCCCTGTTCCCTGGCTCCGATGGGCTGGGGGAGGGGGACGCAGTGGCACCACCATTCACTGAGGTGAGGGGTCTGCAGCCACCCTCTAAAAGAGGCAGAGCGGTTCTCTAAATGGAAGTCTCTAAAATAATGGACAGCTGAGATTTTTCTGTTTTATTATGTTAAAAAAAAACCACACCAGTGCACGTGTGTGTTTGTGTGTGTGTGCACTCTCCTGTTTCTGTTAAGAGAAGGCGCTGTATTAAAAAGCTGGACTCACCAAATGTGAAGCCTGGCTTAAAACACGGGCCATGTGGTGTACATCAGATTGGCTTCGGGAAGCTCTGAGGGCAGGTGGCGTTTCCAAGGATTAGCAGTCGTACCCAGCAGTCAGCAGGAGGGCTCGATGAGTTCTGATCTGCGAGATGTGACGTATACCATGTGTATTAAGAGGCTGATGATGGAGAAAACAGCACTGGTTTCAAATATGAGCCCCAAACTGAAAGTCACGAGGGCAAATGCTCCAAATGCTTGTCAATTTCTATATTGATCAAGCCGCTTCTCACACGGGCAGCTCAGAGTGACTCTGTGTGCTTGTAACAGTCAGAGACTTATTGCTGTAACAAGCAGCCCCCAGATCTCAGTGCCTTGACCCTGTAAATGTATTTCTAGCTCATGCTACATTCTAACACACGTTGGAAAGGAGGGAGGGGTTCTGCTTTACACTGTCATTTAGGGACCGGGGCTCCTTCAGTTTAGTAGCTTAAACATCTTCTGTGCCCTCAGCATCTTCCCCTGATTCTCAGAGTCCAGCTGGCAGGTGAGAGAAGAGACAGACACCTGGGGGAGCCCAGGGAGGTTTTAGGGGCCCAGGCCAAAGGGCTCATATCACTTTCTCCCGCATTTCCTTGGCCAGAACTAGACTCCTAGTCTACCTAGTTGAAAGGCAGGCTGGGAAACACAGGCCAGCTGTGTGCTCAGGAAGAAGACGACTGCGTGTGGTGGGCCTCTGGCCCGTCCCTGCCACTGCGCTGCAGGATGAGAACAGCTGGGTTCAGTTCTCTACTGATGGAAAAGGAGCCAGTCTCCTGATCTGAGTAGGTTCGTGCCTTCAGAGCTGTCTCCTGGGCTAGATCACACTCCATCCAAGTATTCTGCCACTCTGCAAATCATGCATGGAATTCCATTTTTCAATACTCTCTTCAGAGCCTTTGAATATTCTAATACACGGCAATCCTTTGAGAGTGCATTTCTGGTGCTTACAGGACTCATTTGGACCCGAGTCT